AAGCTGAAGTGACAATTGAAAATATCATAAATTTACTTAAAACAATATTACCTGAAAATGCATAAAGTATCATTACAACTTGTATTTACAAACTATTTCAATCTATATCAACTTGATAAGAAAAAATTAAATAAGAAATCTGAATATTGATCATATAAATTTTATATAAATGAAATCAGGTTTTTCTTTGGTATCATCTATATAAAAAAATTATATTAGTATTATTTTATCTTTGCATAACTAATTGAAGCATTGATTAAATTAATACATAAAAAATTGAATATAAACAAATGAGTATCAGCTTATCTTTAAATAAATCAATTAATTAATATAAAGAAATTGAAGGAATACTTGAAGAATATTAATCTAATGATAATCACATCATGTAAAATTGCACTCTGAAAATATGTATCAGGTTGATGCTCTAGATGATGACATAATAGTCCAGAATCAACCTTCAAAACACCAAAAAAATTTTGAAGTTGCTGTTATCGCTATGCAATTTATTATTATTATTAGTATATTTGACTTTAAAATGCAAATAATACTAATACATTTTTATTTATTAAATATTATTCTTGCAAATATTTACTGGCACAATTTTTTTTTAAAAAAAAAACTGCTTTTACAGCATTTTAATTTGGTCTATTTGCATTAATGTTTTTTAATAAATAATGTGTTTTTTTTGGAAGATTTTCTTTTTTGCATGTCTTTATTATAGTTGAATTGATATTTTCTTGAGGTATCTTACATTTTCTTCATTGAATTGATGCTAGTTGTACTTGAATGTTAGCTCCACTTTGTATTGATTCAGCTCTTATAGTAGAATTTCATTAATAAAGATAAGAAATCAGCTTACCCAATAACAAAGATTCTGCTTTCTTATATTCTTTTTGATGCTAGCAAGTAGCTGACTATTTTGTTTTATATTGTTAATAATTTGTTAAAAAAAATTCTCAACCTGTAAAATGCGAGCATTTATATTATTGCAACTATCAGAATTGCTTAAAAAAAAAAATAAATAAATAAATAAATAAAATAAAGTACCAAATAATTTAATAAATATAAGCAGAATTTTATAATTTATACACCAAAAAATAGTAATATCAGTCATAGTAGACATATTTTCATTCGGGCTTTGAGGGTTTATATCTTCATCCTTATATATATGCATTTGATTATTTTCTAATATGGCAGGTTCATAGTAAGATGCATAGAAAGAGTGATCTTGTGCAATAGCACCTTAAAAGCATATATAGTAATGCTATTAGAAAAATAAATTGCTATTAACGTTAATGTCAATTTGAGTTACTTACTACATGCAATATAGTGAAAATCCATACAATCATTAATTGAAAGAGCATGAATAAAGTTACTTGTTCCTTTATAATATTTAACTGCAATAGCAGCCTAATATTTATAAGATGATTCTCTAAAAGCAGTAGGGCATATACAAGTACTAATAGATAGATTGATAGTATAAAATTTACCAATAGTTATTATACTTGGTATAATATATACATTATTAGTTATATCATATTAAATATCTTTCTGGTTTACTTCTTTCTAGCCAGGATAATGAAACCATTTTGACAATTCTATATAGCCTGGGTGTTGAGTAACAATACTTAATATTCATTGCTCATAATAATATTCTATACTAGTTATAATAAACTAAAAGATTTGAACAGTATTATAGGCTTGAGTCCTAGAAAAAACAATGTTTTTAATAAGCCCAAAGTTCTGCTCCATATAATTGTTAATATAGTTTTATGTAGTAAAAGGTTTTTCTGAAATAATAATGCTCAAGAAGCTCATTGTTCCCAAAGAAGTGTAAAATGTGACACAAGTTAGTTATATTTAGTAAAATATTGTTCTCTAAATTTAAGATATTCTTCTTTCATTTTAGGAATAATAGATGCATATAAAATAGTTTTTAAAGAGTGTATAATTGGAATTCAATTGTCCTTATGAATTTTATGCTTGGAATCATATAGCCAACACCAAAGTGCTTGTAAAACATAGAAAATATACAATAATCGAGTAAATATCAGCCAGCAAATTGCCAAAGCATTACATTCAGCATTTGAATCATTAGTAATAATTACTTTAGAACCAACTTGTAGTCCACATCTGTAAAATGCATTATCAGGTAATATTGTTTTAAGTAAATTTATGATATTTTCAATTGTCACTTCAGCTTCGTCTGAGGTTAAAAATACTCCTAAGGGTAAAGCACCAATAGAACAACTTGTATAAAGAAGGATTATAGACGTATTAAGTAGATCAAATGCAGCAGACACATCCAAATAACAAAGTTCACCAGTCTGGCTTATTTTTTCATATACTCTTTTCATCAAACCTGTTATAATACAAAAAATAAAAAGAGTATTTTTTATTGAATCATAGATTTGAAGAACTGCTTTTCCACTATTTATATTATTATATTTATCAACTATTTTCTGCAATCTTTCAAATATTCTTTTTTCATTTCTATCACCTAGCTGTGCAAGATGAAATTGACTATAAAGATGTTACAAAAAACCTCTATCAGGATTCTTTGCTCAATTAGCTAATAGATGTACAAGCTCATCATCATTTGATGCAGATAGATATAGCTTATCTTCATATATATGCCTTGTTGTAGCTGCTGTGTGTCCTATACTGAATAAATTGATATATTGTTTTTGAGTTTCTGCACTAACTGGATGAAAACTGAGCAATATAGCTGAATTTGGCAAATGATTATATATATAATGAAGATTAACTTTGAGTGGATGTGTATTTTTAATATTAGATTTTTCTAATCTAAAGAAAAGTGTTACTATACAATTTGTATTCCTATTTCATTGACTGTCAAGATTTTTAATCACATGATTCTTATATTTTTTGCTTTACTTTATGACTGTGAATACAGTGTCATACCTCCCAAAAAATAACCTTACTACCTTTGAATACAAAGGTTTTGATTATTCACTAGTGGTTTTCAATATTTGTTTAACCAATTTGAGGCGTCTTCTTTGTTATAAAGGTCTACATATAATTTCACTTTAACTTGTCCAATATTAACATTTTCAGATGTAATTATTGGGTTAAGTTCTGTATATTTTTTAATTTTATAGGTATTATTAGGTGGAATGATCTGCTGAAGTGGGAAAGACAAATCAGCCAAGTTTAACAAATCATTTTGCAATTTTTTTTTTAATTTATTTTATTTCTTTGAAGTGCACAAGGAATAATAAAAATAAAATAAATGAAAGCAAATAAAAAAATAAAAAAAAAAACAAAAATTTTATATTAATCAGTATTGTTATCATTATAATTGATGTCAAACGATCGTTTAGTTTGATTTCTGGACTATTATATAATCATCCAGAGCATCAACCTGGTACGTACACATTTTCGGGGTGCCGTGAAATTATGAATACCCTAGCTATGGCGAAAAAAAATTTTTAGATTACATGCCGTAGATTCAATCTTGTCCAATCAGAGTATCCACTAGTAAAACTTAAATTTTTTTGATCGATACATGACTCTATAATAAACTATATTGATATCAATATACTGTATTCTTAGACACATATGTATGTAATTTATAATTTTACAAACCAAGAATTATAGAACAGCGAGAACTTAAAATACTTTATTTTATTTCATAATAGTTAAGTTTTAAGAACATTTTTTTTTTAGCAGAGTTTTAACTTAAAATTTTTATCGTTATTAATTCTATATAGTACTATTCTTATTTATTATATGATACTTACCCACTTTTCAGATTATAACTTCAATTAATGCAACCAGAAGGCAAGTTTTCCTTGTGCTTTTCAAGTAGCTTGTTGCTTATGGGATTGTAATACCGATTCACAGTCATCAAATTCTTTTAAAATTGGTGTTATTAACTTATCGAAGTTATTCACAAAATTATCATTATTAATTTCTCGTTCATACAACTCTAATGCAGTATCAAACTTCTTTTTATATATAGCATATTTCTCTCGTCCATATTTCATTATATCATAATTTTCTTTTGAAAAATCTCTTGG